TAATCCACACACACACACAGTCAAGCACACACTCTCATATACGCACGCACACACAGTGTGCCATAAGTGAAGAGGCAAACCGCAGTTGGCTGTGCTTTTGTGGCCGACAGCCATTGGAGCCCATCATCTTTGGCCGCACGATGTCCCGGCTTGGGTTTTTGGATTGCCTGTGGATGTGGTTGTGGATGAGGCTTAATGTGCTTAAGATGAGTTACATAATATGGTCAAGTGTCTTGCTCTCGATTTCACTCTCTCTCTCTCTCTCATTTTCTGTCTCCTTCGCACTCCCTTTCCATTTTAAGCACTTTCTTGAGCACTTTGTAATTGTCTCTGAGTGCAGAATTCCATTTTGTAATATTGCCAAAGTATTAAGTATTATATTGTGCTTTTGATTTCGCATTCGTTGCCATTTGCAGCCTTGCCCCAAACCACAGCCCTGACAACCCATCCCCGCCCCCAACCCTGATGGACGGACTTGCTTCCTGCTGCCCTCCTTTTTGAACATTAATAGGTGTACTTATATGTTTAATGGAGTGCCACTCGACTGCTCCATGTCTCTGGCGGGACTCTATCTTAATGTATGTGAGTGTGTGTGTTTGTGTGTGAGTGTGACATAGTTAAAATTGCAAACACTGCGGGAGCTACGTCGTTTGCACTCTCTTAACACCGCCTCCCCGCCCTTTGCCCAAAGTCCCTCTTTCCGTCCGGTCAGTTTCGAAACGACCGCAGTTGGTCGCTTTGTAATGCTTAGTTATGCAACTTTTGTTCAATCTGTGGTAAATAGTTTGCATTTGACTATTTACTGCACTTACACACTTACACACACACACACACACACGCACATACACAGTCGTACACACACACACGCGCGCGCGCACCTTGGCTAAGCTGAAGCAGCGCTTGACCCCGGGCTCAGCTTTAAATTAGCAACGTAAATGCCACAGAATTGGCTGCACAAAGTTCTCATTCGTGAATGTGGCATCTGCCTGGGGCACACACACACACACGCACACATACACACATTTCGTGCCACTTTCGGCTGCAACTCAGCCAGATTAGAGCAGACACAGGCAAGAGACAGCAGACACTGTGCTGGCAGTCGTAGCAGTTCTCACATCTGATGATTAGAAATTCATTTAGTTGCTGCAGCTCAACTGTTTGTTAAGTGAAGCGTTATCTTCTGACAAGTGCCTTGTGGGCGGGGCGCACAAGCTGCAAGGTGGACTCACAAAATTGGAGAATCTCAAGTGGACGGTTAAGATAGAGCTCGAAAAGGTTAATGAATAAATATACCTCCATATATGAAACTGTTTGTGTCAGCTGACTAATTGATGATTCGTTCGAGCTGGGAAAGTTCAATTTTAACGTTTCGAGAATTTCCATCCACATGATTGAAAAAATCGTGGAAAAAGTTTACATCAAATGTATTCTCAGTGATCTTAGCTAAAATTCATTTGAAACTTATTCTGCAGCAGAACATTAGACATGACAAGATAAAAATACTATCGATATAAATCGATTTGTTACCTTAATCGATATCAATCGATTTGCAGAAGAGGTCAATTGAATTAATCTAATATGATATATTAAAGTATATAGGCTCGTAACTTGTATATATGCAAATCACAACTGATAAAATCAAATGTTTCATGCATTAGTTTCTGTTGGGATCGAACTTTCTATCTATCGAAATGGAAGCTGTAAAAGCCTTAAATTTATGGAATTGGCAATAATTGTTGCCCAATTAAACTGCCAAAGTAGTTGCCAGGCTAAGGCTCTAAGGAAAAAATAAAGAATGAACAAATCTGATTCAATTTGAGGGAGCTGTAACAAACAATGCAAATGCTGTCAACCAATGTTGAGTCGCATCCGAAAATGCAAGACACTTGTGCTTGAGTAAGATAATACTATCATCTAATGAATATTGATAGTTATTATTATTGCGTACAGTTGATGTGCTTCTGACTTGTTTATAATTCTCCTCCAGCCCAGTGACAGGGATCCATGAGTCAGTCATTTGATGCATGCGGTTAGCCCTCAATGCTAATCAATAATCGGATTTGTCGTTAAATATTATTTGAGCGTGTTGCTGTACAACATGTTAGGGGCAATTTGAGGCAAATTTGCAGGCAATGCATGTGAGTCAGTGAATAGGGCACGTGGCATGTGGCCAGCCAGCATTTGGTTGACTATAGGTATTGGTATACAATTGAATGATGCCAAGCTCAAATATTATTAATTAAATTTCCCAAATTATTTGCCATTAGGCCGCACAGCAAACAATGCACAATATGACAGTCGCAGCTGAATCAGGCGCAACACGCGATTGTCCCAGTATCTCTAGCTACAGATGTATCTTCATATCTTGAGCTCAGTATGAGCATCTGTATATGCCCAGCTGTGGGCAGCTGCATGTGGCATGTCCTTGTAACTTTCTTGAAGGCGGCGTCTGTTGTCCATGTTTATCAATCTATTGCGGCTGTAGTTGCTGCTGCTGCTGCTTTCCTGCTTTCCTGCAAGCATGTGGCAAGGGGCAAGTGTTCTTCAATTGCGTTGCCAGACAATTTGCGGCTGTTGTTTGACTTCTATCTGTAGGTCTGTCTGTGCAACTATCTGTCTATCTGTCTGTCTGTCTGTCTGTCTGTCTGTCTGTCTGTCTGTCTGTCTGTGTGTGTGTGTGTGTGTGTGTGTGTTGGTCATCTAAGAGATATACCCGATATATGGCAGTCAAGCATTGTGCTCTTCTCTGACCAGCCGTTTGTCTTCTACGTTCGATTTACGTAGCGTAAGCCATGTGCATTACCCGCTTTCAACTATTGGAAGGCCATGCTGCTGCCATAGATATATACATGCATAAATATGGCATCCCACAACTCCCCCAGTTGGCACACAGACACAAACTTATATATTGCATATGCCACTGATAGCAGATAGATGGCCAGCCAGAGCATCAGCTCGATACCCACTCTACCCTCAACAGGTTATTTTGACTATGCCAAATCACAGATAAGACTTAATCCTATCTTTTAGAATATTGGTTCAATAGTGCTTAAAAGCTTCCATAGCATTTGTATAGATTATTCAATTATATTATTTATTTAAGCTGGGATTATCGGCTAAGATAATTTCTGTAAATATTTAACTTCCATTGCAGTTTTTGCCGTTAAACAACTAATAGGTAAAGTCGACTCTTACTATTATTATTAGAGGCTGAGTTTAACATTTCAGAAAATGTTAACGCTCTTAACAGCAACTGTTACCGGTCTATTCGTCAGCTTTGAACTGTTATTAGCAATTAGAGATCATTTGAATTTCTAATTATTTAGCAACCGAATCGAACACAAGTCTACTTAAGAGCGCTTCAAGAAATTATACTTTTAATAATTTTAGTTTTTTTGAGCTTTCACTCGTAAGATTGAGCAAACATTAGCTTTATGGTCGAATTTTCCTAGCTCAAATTGATTTGATGGATCGAAAGTAACTAAAAACTTCGTACTATACTGTGCATATATGTATAATAAAAAAGTAAATAAATAACTCTTTTAGTTAGAGGGTCTAAGCAGCTGCTTGAAACTATTTGCAGATTTTTGTTGTCTCGACAACGACGAGAACAAAGTGAAAAAGCTTTTTACAACACAAGCAAATAGCAGAGCGGTTCCATAACCAAGTGCCAAGTGCCAAGTGTGTGTGTGTGTGTGTGTGTGTGTGCGTGTGTGTGTGTGTGTGTGCATGTACTCTGTACTTTGGCATGTCTAGCATGCTATATGTTTGCATATTGTCTACGAAATGCTATACGAATCCCATTCTCTGTCTAGCTATCTGAGTGTCGTTCAGTCTTTCAGTCTGTCCGCCGTGTCCTTCGTCCGTGCTGTGATGGCGGTGTCCCGCTGCGTTATATGCACATGCATATATATATACATATATTTATATATTTATATATATATGTATATTTATATATGTATATCCAACTGTAAGTGCCCTGTGATATCTTGTGCTCTCAATGTTCTTGTTGTACCCACATTGCTTTCTTCTTGCTTCTGGGCCGGGCCACGGCTCTGCTCAGGGTAAGGCACATTCCCCGCCCATCTCTTTGACTTGGCTCCATAAAAAGCAGCAGGCGACAAAATTCGCCTCCGCTCAGACTGTGTGTCACACACTCACACGCACGCACAGTGTCTTATTGGCATGCAATTCGATTTATATTGTATGCGACTCGATGCTTCAAAATGAAGATGCCCAAATTGAAAATAATGCGCACAGGGAATGTGGGGCACAGTTGCGGCGGGGTCGGTTGCCAATTACATTTGCAAGCTAATCAATTATAATGATAATTTAATTAATTTAAACAAACAGCTAACTGATTGCATCGCAACATCAGCAACAGCAAGTGCAACAGCAACAACAAATGCATTTGCTGTTGTTGCCACATCCCTTAAAATGTGCATTTCATTTATGGTTTGGTGATGCCAGACCTATTCATTTTTGGGCTGTCGCATTGCCACGCCCATAGTTGCCGAAGCCCACATTAGTTGCTGTTGCGGCTTCATGAGAAGCAACTGAAGCTCAAGACAAACATAATAATAATATAATTGTGTATATCGCCCGACAATCAAATGACCTACACACACACACACACACACACACAGAGAGAGAGAGAGAGAGTGATAGAGAGAGTGAGACAGCTAATGGTATCTATAAATTAGCGTAGCCTTACATTCAGCAAAAAAATACACTCAAAGAAATCGTTCGCCTGAAATCTAGAAATCGTTACCCAAATAGGTTTTTTATTTGCCCACAACTTTTCATATTGTGTTACATTCCATATTTAATATTATTAACACAACTATGTCCTATTATATTTAATTAAAACAAACAACAACAACTAATATCCCAAGTGTGAATGTATGTTCGTGTGCATTTAAATATGTGTGAATGTTCACCTATTCAGCAAGCTGCGTTTTAAGCTTATAAACATTATCTCTGCCCTTTTGATCTTTCAGCTATATGTTGATAACGATAAAATAATCGGGCCTGTGGATTTACTACAAGAAGATAATGACGCACACATCGTGCGTGTGGACTTGCGGGTGAGTACCCATATATATTAATATATCTATTTTTTATATAAATACGAAACTTTATCAAACTGCACTAACTATTATATATATATGTAGGAGTAAGTGCTTCTGCAGTGATATTGCGTGTGCCTATAGTTCGCAACAAGCTTAAGAGGCAGAACGAGGATGGTTGTTGATGTATTGTCTTATTACCTGCTGACGTGTAATTTTTTTTTTCTTTTTTTCCGAGAGATATGCAAGCATTTTAAATTGATTTGCTTGATTGCTACTTAGCGCAGCAAAGTAGCTTTTTAAAGTGCACTCGAAATTGATAGCTGTCTAATTGGAGAGCGCTTAGCGAGAATACAAAACGGGGGAATGCTTGAAGCGAAACTGATTTAGTTTCGATAGGCAAATTATGGCAAAGTTTTGCCGAAGCTTCTGTTAAAGTTGTATTAAGTTAAAGGCTTTAGGTTTTTTACCTTTGACGATTGGGTTGGTTGTATTAGGCACGTAGCCAGGCAACGCTTCTGCGTTACTGCGTTAATAGAAATTAGTTTAAGCAAAAGATCTTAAGCCAATTAGGCTAATAGAACTTTCCTTGACCTCGATAGAGTGCAAGCACATCGTTCATTTGTGGGCGGGCACAGTGGGGCAAAGTGCACCACACCATGCAGCTAGTCGGGACATGCGGTCAATCATAAATTGTCGCGGCGAAAGCCTGCACAAGGCGTAAACAAGTCGACGCGCTGACATTATTATATTTGCCCGAAAAGCCTTTTGGTTTTTCTTTTTGTTTTCACTTCACGTGGGTAGCGTGGTGTACTAGATTGTGGGGGGGGGGGGGGTAGGGGGGGGGGATGGGGTTTGTAAAAATGCAATGGAAAACATTTTACGTTAGTCGCCTACTTAACACCGGCTGGCAGCGTACCGGCTGCGCTCTGCCACCAAATGCCACAAGGTGTGGAGACTGTGTCGAGGCTCAGCACGGCGCAGAAATATGCTCTCAGCATGTGTGTGTGTGTGTGTGTGTGTGCGTGTGTGCGTGTGTGTGTGTGTTGCCACTGTGGCAACGTTTTAGCAGATTTTATGCTTACATGCAGGCGGGCGTGTCTTTATATGTGTGCCTGGGCGTGTGTGTGTATGTGTGTGCTTGTGTGTGAGTGCGCCCAAATGTAGGCCACACTTTTGCTGGCGCTGCTGTTGCCAAAGCAGAATCCGTGCCAGCGTGTGTGTAGTATCCTTTGCTGCCTTTGCACCTGCCACCTTGCCACCGCCCCTGACAATGTAAAGCAGCTTTTCAAGTTTACACAGAACTAACATATGCTGGCAACGTTTGAAAGATGGCCGCGATAATGAGAGTCTGCCGGCTGGCACAAGCCATGTGGCATGTGGCATGTGGCAAAAGGCACGAGGCACACACACTGCATGCCCGATATGCCAATTGACTGCGGCAAGTTTCGGGCGGCGAGTCTCGGGCTCGGCACAGCCTCAGGCAGCGAAAACGAAAACATTGTAATCATTATCAACATAAACAAATCAAATGCCTGAAATCACAAGCAGGCAACATGAAAAGCGGACTAAATGCAAAGGCCGAAATAAGCAAGGCGAGCGAGCAAAAGTGAGGGAGGCAGCAACAAGCTCGTGGAAGAACACCCTGTAAACGCAGAATTAGGCAGCGGCCTGTTATACGTGAAAGTTATTCATTCCAGATACAAGTAGTTTTATTTTTTAGCCCAAAAAGGGAGAAAAATAGAAAAATAGTGAATCAAAATTAATATAAGCAAAAATGTATATTCGTATAAAATATTTTTTGGTCTAAGCGAGGAACCTCTCCTCAGGCCTTTTTCCACATCGGAAAGGCTTCCGCAATACTACGAAGTGGGGCCTTTTTCTATTCCTATTGAGACAACTGTATTTTAACTAACAGCAAAAGGATATCTTCCTGTCGACCTCGCATGGATATTTTGATTGTTGTTGTTTTTTTTTTTTTTTTTTTTTGTAATTCGTATCTGTTGCTGGATCTGTTATTGTTGTTGTGGAAGCTGCAGCAGGTCAACTCGTAGTCAGGTCCAATCAAGATAATCTTTTGTGGCAAGACCAACGCAAATAACAAGCAACGTCTCCAGGTGCCCGCTCGGATGGGCCGGGGCTTAAAGGCCGTATTGCCCAGAGAGACGAGGAAAAAACGGGGCAAAAAAACAGAAGGCATAAGGTAAAAAACAGGACAAAAACAGAAACTGGGCGAATAGCCACCTGTTGAGCCTGCTGCTGCTGTTGTTGCTGTTGTTGTTATTGTTGTTGTTGGATTTGTTGGCACATTTGCCACATTATCAGTTATGCGCTTTGATATCTAATAAGCCCACATCAAAAGCTAACTCGCCGAAAAGGTAAAAATAAAGCCGACGTATAAACAGAACACAGCAAATAAAGACAGCTGCCTGCTTGAGGCTCTCGCTCGCGTTAGCACAGTGAAACACATATATCACACACACTCGCACACACACACACACACACGATGAATACGATTTTGCTTCGCTTCTTTTATGATCTTGACGGTTCTTGCTTTAGATTTAATGCGCTTTTCATGCGCAGCGCGTGGGGCAACCGTGTGGCATCAGATTCAATCTATTATCAGCCAGTAACTCCCCTTTAAATTTGGTCCACCTTACCTTAGCTTAGCAACAAACAAGGCGCACAACAACATATGGTATCTTCAATATACCCTATATACACCCTACTCAATGAACATATATTGATTTTAGTTTTGGCCGGCACTAGATGATTGAATGACCGTTTGTCTGAGCGACTGACTGACTGACTGACTGAGGAATCAATTGGTTAACTACATGACTGATTGATCGCCTTAGCGACTGAGTGATTGACTGACTGACGAAGTAACCAAATCAAGTGGATGACTGATTGATTGACTTATTGCCGAACTGACTAAGTGACTGACAGAGTGATTAAGTGACTAACTAATTATCAGCTGACTAACTTTATGACTGATTGATTGACTGCCTGCCTGATACGCTGATTGACTCACTAACTAAATGACTGACTGATTGAATGTCTCAGTTACTGCTTGCCTAAGTAGCTGAATTATTAACTAAATGTCTGATTGATTAACTGACTCACTGATTGATTGACTGACTAACTAATTGAATAATTGATTGATTGACTGAGCTGACTGACCTCTCACTTCCGCCCACCGGAGTGAGAAATAAGTGAAAAAAGTGCTATAGGAAAATTGTTTTGATTCTCATAAAATGGAGCTCAAAATTATATTCAAAATACGTAAAAGATCTAATGATTTGAAAATGTGAAGCTAGTGGAGCCTAGGCTAGTCTTACTTAAGTCTTAGAATCTCGAAAATATGTAAATAGTTGGTAATTGAATGAATCTAAGCCATGAACCACTCTGAAGGACTCGTGTGCTCCAATTATAGACGAAATTCACCTTTTGCCTGCTGCTGCTCTTGACTCTAATCAATCTCTCGCACTCGCTCCGCCCTCCCTCACTCTGACTCTCTCACACACGCTTTCTCTTGCTTTCTCACTCGCAATGTAGAGCGTAGAAATTTTTCGAAGCGTTGCTTTTAAAGTTGCTTTGTTGGTATTTTTTTCTGTTTTCTTTTTTGTGTACCAGCTGGGCGGCCACTCAAATAACAACAACTGGCTGGCAACATACATACACACACGCACACACGAACACACACATACATTCAAGCACTTTGCCATGGCCACAATGTTAACGTGGCCAACAATTTCTCATGCCCAATTCACAGCTCCATGTACCCAGTTACCATTACTCTCGAGCCGCGTGTCCTTTGTGCCGCGCATCCTGCGCAATTTTCCGCTCTCAGCTGGCCGTGTGACGTCCCTTTTTGGGCTCTGCCGCTGTTGTTTCTAATCCCATTTTAGCTTAAGCATTTTTTACACTGCTTTTCACACAACGCACCCAATATTCCCTCTGGCCCTGTCTAGGCTTCCAAGCCTGGTGCCCACCTCGGCGAGCAGCAACAATAGCAACATTTTTCCTTCTACATGGCGCTGCTGGAAAAGCAACAAGAAAAGCAGCTCAACAGCCGATTGTTACGTTGTGCGTGTGCATATGTGTGTGTGTGTTTGTGTGTGTGGTTTCCGTATATGGCTTTGCATATTTGCTTTTAGGCAAAGCTGGTTACCTCTGTTCTGTTTTGTACTCTTCGGTTTTGTTCTTTTCAGGGCTGACCGTGCCCTAAGGTTGGGGCTACTGAATAATGGTTTATGTACAGCAGGGTCTACTGTACCCGATTCCCAACTTTTCAATAATTTTCATACAATATGAATTTTATTTAAAAGCACAAACAGGCTTGGTGCTGCCAAATTATAGGAAATATGTATATGCCAATTTGTGTATTGGAATAACCGAAGCTCAGCCGCAATTGAACATTTGAATACCCTACATGCTGACGTAGCTGTGCTGTTGTAACTATTGAAAACTTTATAATGATGATATTATAGTATCTTAACAAGTCCAACTTATCAGCCAAATTCATCAGATTTAGATATGTCAAGAGAATGTTATCTCAGTCAGTTCAATTGGATGTAGATCTTGCGCCAATTGTTGGAAAATGGGGTTACATAAAAGACAAACTATTTACGCTGGCTCGATTTACTGGTTCGAACCCATGTCTCGCCTTCTGTTTAGGCTCTGTGAAATAAGGTTCTGATCCTTTTGTGCCTTACAGTCTTCAATTAAACAAACGCCAGTTTTATTGTTAACTAAATTTGTTTTTTGTATTTATATATATTTATGTATAGATTGCCTTAAATATAAATGAAAGTGTATCTGATCTTCGGCTCTGGCCGCATCGTTGCTGTTTACAAAGGAACTTTATGCTCTGACTGAATTTGCTGGCCTTCTGCTTGGGCGCACGGGAGGCTCGAGTTGGCTGCTCGGCTGCGTTGGCGGGGCGCTTTTCAATTTTCATATTTTGTTTGTTTAAGGCAAAGGCTGTCAGGCTGCATGTGACCACAGTGCCACGC